TTTTTCCCACCCGTCGAAATGCCAGTAATTCCGCATACTCCGTGGGTACAACGCAACATCCCAATTCCCCCGGGTATATACAACGAAGTCTGCAATATTATCCGCACCAAAATTAAGGCTGGTGTATACGAACCATCAAACTCATCGTATCGTTCTCGTTGGTTTTGCGTGGTCAAGAAAGATGGAAAAAGTCTGCATATAGTGCACTCTCTTGAACCCCTCAATGCAGTAACGATTCAGCATTCCGGAGTTCCTCCGTTCACCGAACAAATCGCCGAGCACTTTGCAGGACGAGCTTGCGGCGCCATGCTGGATTTATACGTTGGTTATGATGAACGCCTGCTAGCCCCATCGTCCCGCGATTTCACGACTTTCCAAACGCCGTTTGGTGCCCTTCGTTTGGTCACGCTTCCCATGGGCTGGTCAAACTCAGTTCCGATTTTCCACGATGATGTTACCTTTATTCTCCAACCCGAAATTCCCAAAATCACGATCCCCTATATCGACGATGTCCCAGGCCGAGGACCTGCCTCGACCTATCAATAGGAAGATGGGACTTACGAAACGATTCCAGAGAACCCGGGCATTCGTCTATTTGTATGGGAACATTTCAATAACCTCAACCGCGTGGTTCAACGAATGGAATATTGTCACGGAACCTTCTCAGGCTACAAAATTGTTCTATGTGCCGAAAACATTATCGTTGTTGGCCATGTGTGCACACCAGCAGGCCGCATACCAGATGAAAAACGAGTTGCCAAGATTGTCAACTGGGGACCCTGCAGAGACCTATCCGAAGTCCGCGCATTCCTTGGTACAATAGGTGTTGTCCGAGTGTTTATCCGCAATTTTGCGCACCGGGCACATGCTCTCATAATACTCACCCGCAAAGACATGCCATTTTTATTTGGCCCTCTGCAAATAGAAGCCCAAGAAGACCTAAAACAAGCTCTCATACACTCCCCTGCTCTTCGCCCGATTGATCATACTTCCACCGCCCCCGTGATTCTCGGAGTTGACACTTCACCGCTGGCCATTGGGTTCCTTCTGTCCCAATGTGATGTCAATAATCTTTCCCGCCGCTTTTACGCACGCTTTGGATCAATTACGTTGAACGCACGAGAAGCACGATTCTCGCAACCGAAACTCGAACTCTACGGTTTATTCCGTGCCCTGCGTTCATGGAAAATGTATCTAATTGGCGTACGCAACCTCGTGGTTGAGGTTGATGCTAAATACATCAAAGGAATGCTTGCAAATCCAGATCTACAGCCAAGCGCGAGCATAAATCGTTGGATTTTGGCGATCTTAACCTTCCATTTCACCCTCATTCATGTACCTGGCGTTTTACACGGTCCGGATGGACTTTCACGGCGCCACCCTCAGCCAGATGACGAACCAGAGCCTGAAGATGACTTTGACGACTGGATTGATCAAGTCCATGGTTTCATGCACTTTATAAACGACTCGCCGCATGCTTCCCGCAGCCAACAGACTATATCTGTTCTTGCCGAAAATATTGCACCAGATGGTGAAGATCCCCCGCCGTCTCTTTCTTACGACAACGTCCCGCGATCAGATAAAGCTCGTCAAGCCGATTTTCGAGTAGATTTGGTGCGCGTCTGGCACGGTAATCTAAAACGGCCTCGAAATATGAACGACTCGGAATACAAAACTTTCGTCAAATACTGCATGGAGTTTTATCTCGCAGGCGAACAGCTTTGGCGCTGGTATCGGGATGACGAGGCACGAGTTTCTTCGCCGCGCTAGCCGCTGGTCCAGCCCAGGCATTGAACTTCTTGATGCATGGTTCGAGCAGATGATTAACCATCCCGATTATATTAACGCAACTGATGCTGCTGCCGCGGCCCTCTTTGCGCCGAAACCCATCGGTTATTTCCTCAGCGCCCGAAACCCGGATGGCACAGAAGACGGGTCGACGTTTACCATCATACCGCATATTCCAGCCGTGCCGACGTATCCAACCTTCCCGCACCGCATTTTTACGACTACGGTCAAACTCGATCAGCAACTCGCACCCTCCAGTGACTGAGGACAGTCACGATTTCAGCCGAGGGGAGATGTCGCGCCCGCTGTCGCGCTGACCGCGGATTTATTCATCATGTGATCGTATCATTCCATTTTCGTTCCCGACCTGTTTCTGGTTCCCGTCTCCGTCGCCTCGTTCCTCACTCCGTTCCCGCCGCTCCCTCATTTCGTTCGTCATAAACTCTTTTGATCCCGTGCGTTTCACCGTTCTTCTCACACTCTGTACAACACGTGCTGCCCATTTTCAAATTCGATTCATTCCTACTTTCTTCCATTCCCCAGAAACCTCCCTATGTCTCCATTCTATCCTGTAATTGTATTTCCAATCTCTCCATTCCATTCTACTCTGTATGTATTTTATTTCCACTTCCACAGAATGCTGGTAGTGTTGTAACATGTTTACCTAGCTACAAAACTGTATATAAGTAGGCTCTCTCAGCTCAAATACATACTTTTGGTTCCCCCCCCAAATTTGCGAACTCTAAGTCACACCTACGCAACGTACCTACGCTCAATATTTTAGCCTCCGTCTATCGCCCACGCCGCCGCCTACGAAACTCGTTTAGTTTCCGTTTACGTCGCCGCCTCCGTAACCCCATTCAGCAACCTAAGCCGTCGGGTCCTTGTCACGGCACTAGTCCGTGTTGGAGCACTCGCTACACACACACACACATCACATCTACTTTATTGGTTTAGGCTCGCGCCTAGCCGGTAGGTAGACTCGACACCCGCGTCAGATCTTCTTCAACATGTATCATCCCATGGACACGGGTGGTTGCACTTCAAATAAAGGGGCCGACAATGTGGGCGCGATTCCTGGAGCTGCCTCCACACACTCGACACCTCCTTCGCCGCGGCAGCCTTTGTGTCAGGCGGTGGGAGCCATCTGTCAATATTAGCGCTAGAGCAAAGGTTGTTAGAAGGGTGACGTCAAATGCCGCCAATGCCGAATGATTGCTTGGCTATGTGCCGGCAGAAAAGAGTATTCCGACACTGGACGGCCAGGTGCCGAGGTGTTCGGCATCTGCGGAGATAAGGCGAGCTTAAAAAGCCTCAGATGGACGGACAGGCTTAATTTTATAAAGAGGGAGATAAGTGGCAGATCTCGGATTTCCATCAAGATGAGCACTTAGGTGGGAACATTTGTTTGACAACTGACCGCTTGTCCTATTCACTCTGCGTTAATTGGGGAAGCCTGGACTATGTGAATGTATCAATAGCAGTCAGGTAAAAGTCGACTAATTGGACTGTAGTACAATCCGTAATGCATGTCGGTTGGGACGGCTTCGAACCGGTCCCAAGCCGTTCCATGGTCATATTTTTTTTTCGCTACAGTATAGGGAAAATTCGACACCTCGTCAAAATGTTCAGATGATGTTCAGATGATAAGAAATCTTCCACTAGCCCCAAATCACTCAAGACATTCCTTCAAGCACTCTGGGCATATTTAAATTAAGTAGATTGAAACAAAAATACTTCTTTGTAACTTGTTCCGCTACAACTCTGCTAAATCATCCACTAGACCCAAATCACTCAAGATGCCACCTCAGTCTGAACTTAAATAGAAACAAGCTATGTTTTTATTCTAAAGAAATTACAGAAGTTTCACTATAACCCGGACAGTGCGAACGACGAGCGCGAGCGCGAGGCATTACGTGCGCGCCGCGGCATGCATGTACAGCATGCACGGCGGCAGGCGGCAGGCGTATACGGCGGGTGCGTGTGCATCCGCTACTGGCCTTGCGCGGTATGGGACTCACGCGGCGTCTGGTATGCGCCGCCAGAGTTAGTCCGGGTCCAATTATCGTTGTGCTCTCGGCAGCAAGTGTACTAGAGAGACCATCAGACATGACGCAGACAAAAGCAGCAGCCGCAGGATGCTCGGCGCTCGCAGCTCTGGGAACCTCGACCTCTTTTTCCCCCGCTAAGGCTGGTACCAGTGGCGATGGAGCGGTCGAGTTCTGGCAGGCCGGTGAAAAATAATGACATAAGTATTGCATAGTCACGGTGGCGTCCGGCTTGGGGAGCATTTGCGTACTAGACTCCCGCTTCAGACTCCGCAACCCGCATCACCTGGCGACTTGATCGGTAGGTACGGTACGGCACTGTACTTATGCTTCCGCCGCGCCAAAGTTAAAATAAGTAATTGCTGGGTTTAGCATTGGTGACAACCAGCGATGAGTATCAAGAGCACTCCGGAGCGTGCTTATGGAGCAACGTTTTGGTGTACTAACCACTGGCAGAAAAATGCTCCCAGTTGGAATAAGGAGTCTGTCGACAGCCGCTCAAAAATTCAGAAGGAATTAGTAGAGAAATCGAATGAAACGCGCAGCTGGTCACATGGTCTGACGTTACACAAACCTCAATCAAGCTTTTACTTGTAACTATTGCAAGACTGAGCGCTGTTTCATTCTTAGTCTTCCACATAAACACGGAACTTGAACCGGGTCCGGGACTGAGTACTGAGTACTGATGCATGACGCCTTACGATGCGATGCGATGCTATATATGCCTATGCCCAAGAGGGGGTGCATCATTAAAATTTTGTATATACAGTCAGAAAGTTTTTTTATCGAACATCCTGAGGCCCTCTCCCCCTATATAAGGAAAAGATTTCCCACGCTTCACGCGGCCATCAACTGTTTACCCTTGTTGTTGCTGGCGGCAACTCGGCACTTTTTGCTCAACTTAGTTCAAACACTCCCCGATGCACCATGCGCGGTGTCGAGCATGTCGGGGATAGGGGGCGCCGGCGGGACCTGATGATGGTGGCGGAAGTCTGCAGTGTACGCGGGATACAGTGTGATTGTACATGGGGGGCTAATGCCGATTTGAAGGACTTACTATCCGTCGTAAGTCTTATTGTTCTTTCTACGGTGCCGGCACCTGATTGTAATTCAGACGGGGAACGTTTTCCTGCCAGTGTATAGGACTCGTGGGGTGAGCTCAGTAGCAGCATGGCGCAAATGGAAGCGCGCGGGGCCCATATAATGCCAACCCAGTGCCGACCCATTAATGTTGCCCCGAGGTCACTCGATCGAAACGAGTTGCTGCTATTTATAGTTGCAGTGACCGACACCTGATATCGTTTGGGTTATCCTAATCTGATTCAGAATCAATATGGTTGGGTAATATATTGCCAGTGTATTGCCGCGTCGCATAATGGTGGCGGCGGCACTGTACGACGGACTTAGGGCGTGGTTTTATATTACGTCGTCGGACATATGCATCCATCAGATACGAGTGTGATTGTAAGCGGCTAATGCCGATTTGAAGGACTTATTTGTCGTTCTACGGTGCGGCACCAGCACCTTCTGATCGTGACGGGAAAGTTTCCTGCACTCCATTCGTGGGGTGACTTAATTTGCTGGAAGCAGTATGGCGCAGATGGAAGCGCGCGGGGCCCATATAAAGAAATACGATGCTGGCTGTCACCCCGAGGTCACTCGAAACGAGTTGCTGCTATTTCTTTTTCTCTCATTGATAGTCGCAGTGGCTGTCAGCTGGGTTATCACAATCAACATGGTCATCGGTCTTGCCAGCGCGGAACTCGATTGTACAAACGTGAAATGTTCAGACGCGACCGTGACGCCCACGAATTCCGCGGGCGAAATTCAAGGGCATTGTCCCGGTCCGCCGTTGCGTAGCTCAATCCATGAAAAGACGCAACGCGTGCCCAGGTTTGTGTTACTGCGCTTCTATGCGGGGGGAAAATCCAGGCAGAGAAGAAATCTGACCCATCAAACGATTGTTCGCAAGAAACAACCGATCAAGAATCATGCAAAGTTGCAATTGACACAATGCTTCCCACGGAACTGGTACGGTATAGTGCGGGCCTTGAGTCGCACCATTGCGCGCAAAATTGATGTATACTAGTAGCTCTGGGAAAATGGAGGACAAAATTGGATACCATGTTGTCCGCCAACTTATAAACCTGAGTTCAAGGTGTTTGCGTTGGGAGGAAAAAAGAGAACAACAATGGCCCAGCCCCGAGTCGAACGGGAACTGATTAGGAATTTCTGGAGATGCGCGCTGCGCTACCGAGCCGTCTTCCACCAGCTCAAAGTCAGATATGAATCAGACATGTCATTACAGTTGCGAGTCGGACGGGGCACTCCAGGAAATGCACTCTATCCTGCACTGAAGATGCAGAGTGATGACCCATGGGGTGACTCAAGTCGCACAGCAGCATGGCGCAAATGGAAGCGCGCGGGGCCAAGTTTAGTATGGATCAGTCGTGCAAATCAGTCTCCGTAACGCATGAGCATTGAGTCTTATCATTACTATTCTGACTCTAGTTTAGTCAGTGTTGGCTCAATCGTACGGATGCCCACTTGCTCCGGATCCGCACCCGAAGCCGGTCTGCCGTTTCTGCCAGCCCCGCCGCTGCCGTAGCGTGCGACGTTCAAGTTGCCAAGACGTTGCAGCCCATCTAAGCCGCTGTCTGCACACACGCTCGCCGCAGTCCGCATACGCACCAATAAATTCTGCTCCAGTAGGTTTCACAGTAATAAGAATTTCAGTCACAATCCCACTCAGGAGCATAATGCGAAACACTTGGCCTTATGCAGTCATTACGTAATAGCGGGTTATCAGCAGGTCTCTTTTGAGAGGAAATGGCGTCCACCAAATATCCATGACGGAGACGGCAGTAGTGGTTCTGATGGTACTCCGTCGGCAAAGACTAGTGCAGTTCATATTCAGACAGTCGTGAGCTCCTGTCGATGGAAATTAACAAGAAATTAATGTATGACAAGCATCGAACAGTGAGAGGTAGGAATCACCAGATAATAATCTGCCTCTAAACGGACTTCTGTTGTACAGCGGCAGAAGATCTCGAACTCCGATTGTGCCTGACCCATTTCAACATGCGATGGTGATATTCGTTTGGCGCGCGCAATCTGCGATCTGCGCTGATGCGAGTGATATCGCCGGTCGTGACGGGAGCAATTGCAATTCTGTGCCTTCAACACCTTTGGTGCAAGATACAGGAAAACGACACAGGACACTCATTTCACTCGGCTGCCGAATCACCGTGCCGAGTAAGTAATGTATCTGATGGTGGCGGTGTCTTCCCACGCGGCTTGTCGAGCCCGGTTACTTACGCGCACTGCGCCGCAGTTTTACTATAAGAAATTGATCGCATCACCGTGTCCGACGTGCCATCCGAGTCATTCAGGTTTTCGCCACCCCTTGGGATAGCCGGTTCAGCAATTACGCGGTACGCCTATGGGAAGCAGAACTCCAAAATCAAGTCACCGTTGCACTCCGCCCGGTGCTTTTGCATGATGAATTCAGGTTCCCTTGGGGCAGCCGGTTCAGCAATTACGGAAGCAGAACTATAAAATCAAGTTACCGTTGCACTGTGCCTTGTGCTCTGGGTTGTTGAGCTCAGGTGTATTGTTGTTTCATCCCCCTCCTCGTCTTCGCCGTCGCCCTCGTCCCGCACGATGCATCTTACCGCATTATTATTACCGGCACTTCTCGGGGCTTCTTCCGGTGCCTTCGCCGCCGAAAACCCCCACAGGCGCGCCGCAGCTCTCAAGAGCAGAGCGCCCAAGAGCGCTTCGAAGCCGGCAGCCCCGGTGAAGCGTGCCCTGAGCAAGGACTCACACTTCTTGAACTCAAACAGCGAGAGTGAGTGCATTTGTTACTGCTTGATGCCCATATTTGAGCACGACCCACTGACCCCCTTCCAGAGTTCGTCGTCGATGGGACCGGCGTGCCAGAGGTCAACTTCGACCTGGGCGAGTCCTATGCTGGCCGCCTGCCAATCACCAGTCCCAACACCAGAAACGCCACCGCCAACGAGCTCTTCTTCTGGTTCTTCCCCTCGGCTAACAAGCTCGCCGGCAACGAGATCGTCATCTGGCTCAACGGCGGGCCAGGATGCAGCTCCATGGACGGGCTGTTCCAGGAGAACGGGCCCTTTCAGTGGCAGTCGGGCACCCATGCGCCCCAGCCGAACCCCTTTTCCTGGACGAACCTGACCAATATGGTGTGGATCGATCAGCCTGTAGGCACGGGCCTGTCGCTCGCGGCTCCGGGGGCGCCGGCACAGATCAAGGATGAGACAGATGTCGCGAGGGACTTTGCTGGGTTCTGGAAGAATTTCATCCAGACCTTTGACATGCAGGGGTTTGATGTCTACTTCACCGGAGAGTCGTACGCCGGACAATGTAAGGCAAACGGCACCCCCCCCGTGTCAAATTTCAGACGCTAACTTCATACGCCAGATATCCCCTACATCTCCAGCCACTTCCTCGACCTGAACGACACGACCTACTACAATGTCAAGGGTATCCTAATCAATGACCCTTCCATCGGCGATTTCGAAGTCCTTCAGGAGGCTCCCGCGGTGGCGTTTCTCAACCACTACAACAACGTGCTAAACCTCAACGATTCGTTCGTTGCGGACATCAACCAGCGCGCCGAGGCCTGCGGTTACAACACCTTCATGGACCTAGCGCTTACCTTCCCGCCCACCGGCAAGTTCCCCGAGCCCACCTCTTTCGCCACGGGCAACACGACACTCAATGACTGTGACGTTCTCGACGACATATTCCTGGCCGCGCTGTACGTCAACCCGTGCTTCAACTTCTACCACATCACCGACTACTGCCCCTTCCTGTGGGACGAGCTCGGCTTCCCCAGCCTGGGCGACGGGCCCAACAACTACTTTAACCGCACCGACGTGCAAAAGGCTCTCAACGTGCACCCGCACGTCGACTACGCCATCTGCGGCGACCATACCCTCGGCCTGGACAATTCCCTGCCGTCCTCCTTCACCGTCCTCGCGGGCGTCGTTGAGCGCACTAACAACGTCCTCGTCGGCAACGGCAACCTGGACTACCTCATCATGAGCAACGGCACGCTGGCCACGCTCAACAACATGACCTGGAACGGCGCGCAGGGCTTCTCGTCAAGCCCGTTCACGGACAAGTTCTTCGTGCCGTACAATCCTACCATCGGCGCCGCCCTCAACGAGACGTTCACCCAGAGCTCGATCCCTACCGTCAGCGTGGGCCTCGTCGCCGGTGGCGGGTTCTATGGCACCACGCACACGGAGCGCGGCCTGACGTTTGTCACGGTCGATCATGCGGGTCATGAGATCCCGCAGTATGTTCCAGGCGCTGGGTACAGGCAGCTGGAGTTCTTGCTGGGGCGGATCGACAGTCTGACCCAGCAGGGGGATTTCACCACCCAAAGTGGCAATTTCACGGGCACCACACCGTTGTGAGCGCGATAAGATCAGAGGAGATTGTACATGTACATAAATAAAACTGTGGCTTCCGCAAATGCCACCTGCAAACTGTAGCAACGCAACAACTCGCAAACCAGGCAGTTTATACGGTCCCATCAGTGCATTGCAAACGACCTTTAATGCCCCCACCTTGAACCCCCCCCCTTCACTCATTCCCAGCTGGATTCTTGCTCTTCTGAGCAGAAATTTTATATAGGGAAACTTTTCAAATTTCACGCAGCTGAGCTTGCGACCTTTTCGGCCCTTTTTCGGCCTTTTTTGACCTTGTACAAGGTCACAAGATGGCCGTCAAAAGTCTGATGCAAGTTAATTTACCTAAGTTACTTGGGCAACTATCAACGGAAAGATATCACCAAGGGGGTGTCGGCTTTCGAAAATCAGACGTGGGGTCGATTTATTTTTTTCGACCCCTCCTGGACCCCCTCCCCCCCTGTATCCTACTATAAAAGGAAATAGTTTCCCACCCCTGACAGCGGGCCGGTCCTCCGGTTCGGCACAAGTCAGCAAAAAAGGTCATATCTGATAGCTCCAGGCTGGCATTATGCATATAGGTGTAGTCAATGCAACATACCTCATCCCTCTTCTTTCCTGGCTCTCTTTTGCCATTGCTCTCGCACGTCGCCGCGTGCACGTGAGGCCGTGATCGTCACCAAAACGGGTAATGCAACCAATTCAGCTATGGCGTGCCAAAACTCACAAATACCATGTAGACAGTGTTTCGAACACTCCCGAACCTTATTTGATAACATGGCCTAGAATTTTTTCTCAGCCCTCCCTGGACCCCCCCCCCTC